TGTTGGAAAACCATGTGCTTGTTCTGTAGAATTCTGTGAGTCTCTTTAAAAGTATTCTTATCTGATTGGGAAATCATATTGCTTTTACTTCAAGGAAAGATTAAGGGGAATGTATTAGTGACAGATGCATAGAAAATTAGCCAAATAATAAAGACCAATAGGAGGTCCAACATGATGGCAGCAAAGGAGGATGCTGAACTCACACCTCCCCCTGCATAAGCAAACTCAAATATTCACATAGTTAGAGAACAATTACTCTTGCAAAACAAAACACAACAACAAAAACAACTAACTGGGGACTGAAAGAATAGTTTCTGAACAACAAACAAGAGAAAGACTCTGAATAGAGAAGGCTGGGAGGCTGAGGAACTCTGGATTGAGGAGCAAGTGAGCACCACCGTTTACTTCTCACTGCACTTTGATAGGCAGGTTGGAGCCCTATTCAGGTGCTTTGCCTCGGAGCAGGGCTTTCTCAGCTACATTGCCCAGAGCCCTTTTCCCTAAACAAAGGGAGCAAGCAGGAACAGCAGCACGTCACCACAAACCCTGGTCTCCCTGCCAGGAGGCTCTCAGCAAGCTACTGCCTGCCCCGCTGCCATGAGCACCTGGCATACCCAGCACAGAGCCTACAGAGAGGTCTCTTCTACACAGGACCACCTTCTCTACAACAAACAGAGAGTAAAGAGAAGGCTGGAGCCATGGGAGCTCTCCAGGGACCACCAGTGAGTGCCATTGTTTATGGCCCCCTCCAACTCCGCAGGGTGTGCAGGGGGCTCTATGCAGGTGTTCTGGTCTACCCGCCAGACTTATATAGCACGTTCCCAGGCACACCACAAAAAGATCTAAAACATGACATCAATAACATAAAACATGCAGGGGAGTGGGAGGAGAAGGACAAAACAAATACATGGAGGAAAAACAACCAATGGATCAAACAAGAAATCAGAAACTATCTTGAAGCAAATGAAAGACAACCTACTTAATGAGAGAAGATATTTGCAAATTACACATACTGTATATGTATTATAATAGAAAATTATACTAATAAAAGGGTAATATGCTAATTAGATCGGACATCTTTCGGACGACCATCCGGACATCCTTCCTGACAAAACCAAGCTGGGAAAAGCCGCCCGCCCCTCAGTTCCAGGCAGGTGCCAGCACCTGCGCCTGCGGCCCAGGAGAGGGAGAAAAGCTGCCCACCCACAGTCCCCTGTGGCTGTGGCCGGCCTGGGCAAAGCCAGCCCGGGTCCCAGGTACCTGCAGCCGGCCAGAGGAGGGAATCCTGGGTCCTGGAGGTAGGGCCAAGGCAGAGGCGGTTAGGGGTGATCAGGTTGGCAGGGGAACAGGGGTAATCAGGCAGGTAGTGAGAGGCGGTTAGGGGTGATCAGGCAGGCAGATGGGTTAGGGGCATTCAGGCAGGCAGAGGCAGTTAGGGGTGATCAGGCAGGCAGAGGTGGTTAGAGGCGATCAGGCAGGCAAAGGGATTAGGGGCATTCAGGCAGGCAGGCAGGCAGGCAGGCAGGCAGGCGAGCGGTTAGGAGCTAGCGGTCCCAGATTGTGAGAAGCAGTCAGACATCCCCTGAAGGGTCCCAGATTGGAGAGGGTGCAGGCTGGGCTGAGGGACCCCCCACTATGCATGAATTTTGTGCACCAGACCTCTACCTCTAGTATATAATAATAGAATATCATTATATATGATAATATAGTATAGATTATATACAGTAAAACATTTTTATTTATTTCAGAAAAGAAGGGAGAGATAGAAACATCAATGATGAGAGAAAATCATTGATTGGCTGCCTCCTACACACCCCACACTAGGGACCAAGACTGCAACCTGGCATGTGCCTGAACTGGGAAGCAAACTGTGACCTGCTGGTTCATAGGTCAATGCTCACCCACTGAGCCATGCTGGCCAAGCTATGCTAATATATAAAAAGCCACCACGACCAAAACGACCAAACAGCAGGCTGTGTGGGGTGACCAGGACCACGGGGGGGGGGGGGGGGGCAATTGGGGGTGACCAGGCTGGTGTGTGTGGGGGCAGTTGGGGGTGACCAGGCTGGTGTGTGTGGGGGCAGTTGGGGGTGACCAGGCTGGTGTGTGTGGGGGCAGTTGGGGGTGACCAGGCTGGTGTGTGTGGGGGCAGTTGGGGGTGACCAGGCTGGTGTGTGTGGGGGCAGTTGGGGGTGACCAGGCTGGTGTGTGTGGGGGCAGTTGGGGGTGACCAGGCTGGTGTGTGTGGGGGCAGTTGGGGGTGACCAGGCTGGTGTGTGTGGGGGCAGTTGGGGGTGACCAGGCTGGTGTGTGTGGGGGCAGTTGGGGGTGACCAGGCTGGTGTGTGTGGGGGCAGTTGGGGACAACCAGGCCAGCAGGGGGCAGTTGGGGGTTACCAGGCTTAGCAGGGGGGCAGTAAGGGGCAACGAGGCCAGTGGGAAGGAGGCAGTTAGGGGCAATCAGGCCAGCAGGCAGAGGAGGTTAGGAGTGATCAGGCTGGCAGAAAGGGCATTTAGGGTGGATTAGGCAGGTAGGCAGGTGAGCAGTTAGGAGCCAGTGGTCCCAGATTATGAGAGGGATGTCCGATCAGGCCTAAACCAGCAGTCAGACATCCCCTGAGGGGTCCCAGATTGGAGAGGGTGCAGGCTGGGCTGAGGGGAGCATCCCTACTGTGCACAAATTTTGTGCACTGGGCCTCTAGTGATATATATTTATATATATAATAATAATGGAATATTATTCCACAATAAAAAAAAAAGAACGAAATCTTGCCATTTGTGACCATATGGATAGATCTACAGGATATTATTCTAAGTTAAATAAGTCAGGCAGAGAAAGACAAATGCAGTATGTTTTCACTTAAATGTCAAACAAAAATAACCCACCAAAACAAATGAATAAACAAAACAAAATAGAAATAAACCAATAAAGAACAAGCTGATGGCTGGGACCGGTTTGGCTCAGTGGATAGAGCGTCGGCCTGTGGACTGAAAGGTCCTGGGTTCGATTCCGGGCAAGGGCATATACCTTGGTTGCAGGCACATCCCCAGTAGGGGGTGTGCAGGAGGCAGCTGATCGATGATTCTCTCTCATTGATGTTTCGAACTCTCTATCCCTCTCTCTTCTTCTCTGTAAAAAATCAATAAAATATATTAAAAAAAAAAAAAAAAAAAAAAGAACAAGCTGATGGTTGCCAAAGGGGTGGGAGGATGAGAATAAAAAATAATTACACAAATTAAAAAAGAACAAAAAAACAAGTAATACTTACCCCAGGAAAAATAGACCATATATCAAAGGAATTATATTGTAATTACACTACACTTCTTGAACACTAATCCAATATTTGTTTAGTCAGCTTGAGTAATTGTTTTGCAGTTCTAGTATTGTAAATGCAGAATAATCATGTAAACAAGAGGTGCAGGAAAATGTAGAAAGTAATATAAGCTTAATCTTCATATTCCTTACTAAGCAGTCAATAGATAAATTTAAAACTGGGGAGGGGGGGATCCACTTAACATCAGCAGTCTAAATCTGATGCTTGCAAAATAGATATAAAACTAGAAGAAATCATCAGAAATACCAGAAGGAACTGAAAGGAATTGAAGTGAGAGGGAATGGAATAGAGAACAGCTAATTTTAAAGTGTATAACAAATGATAAATTAACAAAAAAATATTTTAAAAATTTTAGGTTCATTTAGCTGGTGTCTAAGGTGGCTAAAATCTGAGAAAAAAACAAAAACAAAGATGAGTTCAGACTCCAGGAACCGTTGAGGCTTAATGAGGCCAGGTTAGGGAGAGACCGTGAGTCCCCACGCCTCGGAGTTCAGGATTGAGGGCGTGGCACAGAGAAGGTTATCCAGGCTGCCCTGTCGCCTCCCTGTGCTGCCTTTTGTTTCTTTGTTTACACCAGAGTGACCAGCCAGAAGCAAAATGTCAGCCAACTCTCCTAGGCATTGTCTGAGCGGGAGACTTCACCACTGCCAGCCTCTCACCTTTGCCTCTCCCTCTCTTTGGGAGCTTCCAGGTACTTTTGGGAGGGAGCTCCCGACAACTCTCAGCACTGTTTAAGCCCCTTCCACAGCGTTCCAAGCTGGAGGCCTGTTTTCATAGGTTCAAACTCCAAACACAGCAGGGACCCCCGGGAGGCCTCGGGCTGTCACCTCCCCTTCTCCTCCTGAGGCTCTTCCTGAGGGGCAGAAGGATGCCATGACCTCTAAAGGCACTGGCCCTAAAGTCAGACGTACAGCCCAGCCTCTTATTTGCTGTGTGACCCTGAACAAATTACTTAACCTCTCTGAGTTTCACCTTGCTAGCTGTAAAAAGAAGAGCATAATAATATATAGGGTTGTTGTGATCACTTAAAAAGAATAATGCATGGCTGAAACAGGTTTGGCTCAGTGGTAGAGCGTCGGCCTGCAGACTGAAGGGTCCCAGGTTCGATCCCGGTCAAGGCATGTACCTTGGTTGCAGCCACATCCCCAGTAGGGGGTGTGCAAGAGGCAGCTGATGGATGATTCTCTCTCATCGATGTTTCTAGCTCTCTATCCCTCTCTGTAAAAAATCAATAAAAATATATTTTTTTTTAAAAAAAGAAGAAGAATGCATGTAAGGTGGGTAGCATAGCTCCCGGCTGGCTGAGTGCTTGGTAAATGAAGCTATTGGCCATCCCCCATATACTCAAAGTCACCTTCTAGCCATCCCCTGCCCCAGAGTCTCCAGAATGACCCCTGGGAGCTCCTTTGGGAGACAGGGTACTCCTCACCTGTACCTGGCACTCCACGCTAACGTTTACCTCCGCCCCAGCCAGCCTTCTCTTTCCATAAGATCAGCTTTCATCTTGTGTTCTGGCCAAAGGGGTTATAATCTCTCTTGCTTCTGTCTGGAACCTTAAAAGCCCTACCAATTGATGGTTGGGGGGGAGGGGGGGGACGGACAAACAAACAAACAATGGGATTGGGGTTCCTGGTTCCAGAGAGGGAGCCAGGGAGCAGCTGGAAGATGCTGCCTGAGGGGGGCGGGGCATTGTTAGGACAGGGAGACTGCAGGAGCGGGAATGGGGTGAAGTGAGGAAGAGAACCTGTTGAGGGGATCTTGACATCCCAAAGGAGGCTCAACAGAGAGTTCACAGGAGGCAGGGAGAGAAGGATCTATGCCCCTCAGCTTCTGTAACTGCCCCCAGAACTGTCCTCTCACCACGGCTGCCCACACAGGGAAAAGACATGGTTCCCCCAAAGGAAATTAGGATCTTGGAAGAAAAATAGATCTTGGGAAAGGCCCTAAAATGCTAATTACCTATTATATACAGAACGGGGATCCAGATAACTTCCCACAAGATCAGAACAGCTGGTTAGATTCAAACAAGATAAAACAAACATTAAAAAAAAATGTTGACCCTACATTGAGGGTCAAGAATCCAACTGCACACAAAGCGATGTGGAAAACCTACCAGATCAATAATTGGAGAGTGATGTGGCTGCCAGAAACATTAATTCCGTGTGAGGACATATTGATGGAGGAGTAGAATCTAGGAAAGGAAAGATGAAAGTTCAGGTTTAGCCAAAACCGGTTTGGCTCAGTGGATAGAGCGTTGGCCTGCGGATTGGAGGGTCTCAGGTTCGATTCTGGTCAAGGGCATGTACCCTGGTTGCAGGCACATCCTTGGTGGGGGTGGGGGTGTGCAGGAGGCAGCTGATTGATGTTTCTAGCTCTCTATCCCTCTCCCTTCCTCTCTGTAAAAAAATCAATAAAATATATTTTAAAAAAAGAAAGTTCAGCTTTATTCCCAACTGAGTTCAATTCCAAGAGTAGTAATCCTTTACAGGGGACATTGTTGACCTATTAAGAAGCAAAAAGAGAAGAGATGTCACAAGGAAGTCAGTAAAGGAACTGGTCAGATGACATGGTAAATGGAAAAAGCCGGAGCCCTCTCCAGAGACAGAAAAGCTGGATTCCAACTCCACGCTTTATCAGTTATTAAAGATTGATCGTTCTTCACGTCACACGCCACGTCAGACACCAGGGAGCCCTGAGCTGCTTTTCTGTAAGAGCCAAGGGCAGGAAACACTGGGAGGGAGAGCTCAGCTCCACCTTAGGGGAAATGTCTTTCTTTTGTGTGTGTGTGTGACATTTGTCATTCTTTCCTCTGGTCACAAAAGAAATACATGGTTGAATAGAATATTGGTAAACAGAAAAGCAAAATGAGGTAAACATCACATCTCAACTCCTACTTAACTTTCTAATATTTAAGGATAAGATATATCAACAAACAGATATGAACAAAAATCGTCAAATAATTATCTGATGTAATTCAGAGTACCAGCTTGTAAAGATGTATGTATTTGTACGTAAGGATGTTTATTAATATTGTTTCCAGTAGGGAAAAACTTATAAACCACTATCAGTAGAAGCATACGGGGAGTGTCTGAGTAAATGATCGTGCATACACTTCATGCAATACTGTGCGGCTTGTTGAAAGAAAAGGGTGGAACTAATAGGTATTACCTTCAAAATGTTCCCACATAGTATTATATATTGTTTGAGGCAAACAACATTATAGGATAATATGCATAGTATGATCCCATTTTTGTAAACAAATGCATGTACATTTTTTTAATGTTTTATTGACTTTTAGAGAGAGAGGAAGGGAGAGGAAAAGAGAAACATCAGTGTGAGTGAACACTGATGGGCTGCCTCCTGCATGGATCCAGCCTGCAACCTGGCCATGTGCCCTGACCAGAAGTCACACTAGCAACCTTTTGATGCACGGGACCATGCCCAAGTAACTGAGCCACACCAGCTGGGGCCACAGATATGTTCTTGTAAGCAAAGGAGAGGGTACGATGTTAACTGTGGGTGCATCCTAGGAGGGCACAGCTGGAGAAGCCAATGCTAAGACAGTTAACATGTTCTTGGAACATCTCTGTGTTGCTTGAATTGGGACAATCAGGATATATTATTTCTAAAATTAAAATGACCGAAATTTAAATAATTAAGCAACAATCTACCCTGGAAATTTCTCCATGCCATTAAAGATACTATATCATGGTCTGACCGGTTTGGCTCAGTGGATAGAGCATAGGCCTAAGGACTGAAGGGTCCCAGGTTCTATTCCGGTCAAGGGCATGTACCTGTGTTGTGGGCTCATCCCTAGTAGGGGCCGTGCAGAAGGCAGCTGATCGATGTTTCTAACTCTATCCCTCTCCCTTCCTCTCTTAAAAAATCAATATATATTTTTTTTAAAAAATAAAGATACCAAATCACATCTAATGACCACATATATCCCTTGTGTGGGTTTCTCTAATGTATTGAACCTAATGTTGGATATTTAGTATATCGGGAGCTGTCTAAAGAGGACAATTTTTGTCAGAATTGAAAATGTGCAGACCCATAGATCTAACCATGCCTCAGGTAGGGAATCACCTGACAGGGACACTCATACATGTGTATAAAGATATCTCTGCAAGATTGGGTCCCTGCCTCATTATTCTTGCTAGCAAAAGGCTAGAAACAACCTATCTGTCCAACTTCAGGGACTATATAAATAAAAGTTACAGGCTGGCCAAATACTGCAATTCTCAAGAGCCGATATATCAATATAAGAAATGAGATGGATCTGTAGACATTTACATATACATTGGACAAGATCTGAAGGATACACATCCAGCTGTAGGCAGGCTTTACCCATCCCTATGTTGTATCCCTATAAGGATGTAAGTGGAGCATAAAGGAAGTGAGCCCTCCGTTCCCTGAGGAATGCAGAGATCCACTGCCTCATTCCGAGCGGCACCATGGAAGGAATGTCCACATCCCTCAGAGGTGGCTGAGGTCCCCTCTCAGCCCTGAGACTCTCAGAGGAACAGGGAGGAGAGCAATCCGCGCCTAGGGGGAAAGGGTTAAGAGCGAGGCCGGTCTGTGGGCGGGCTCAGCCATCGGCAGCGCCAGGCTCTGTTAACCAAGCCTGAGCATCTCGGAGGAGGAGGATGCGGCGCTGGGACGCGCGCAAGGTGAACGCGGGGGCTGCCGGCGGCACGACGCCCAGGTGAGGAGCTGGCGGGGGAAGGGGGCGATGGGGGGGCCCAGGCCGGGAGTACGGCCTGCAGCCCCGGCCTTGGCAGGGAGCAGAAAGGCCTGCACCAGAGCCCACCCCGCACCCAGGACACTGCGGGAAGGCGCGGAGCCAGGGGACAGGAGGAGGAGGACGAGAGGTAACCTGAGATGGGCCAGCTCCCAGGCTGCTGCCCTGCACTGCCCTCTCCCTAGACCCCGAGACAAGGAGATCCCTCTCCCCTCCCCCCGCACCCTCCCACCCCCCATAAAAACACATTTCTCCAGCAGCTGGAACCTAGTGCTGGGCAGCCCCCCCTCTTTGTCCGCAGATGCCCACATCTCTCGGATCGGGGGTGGTGAGCAGATGGCAGATGCTTACTGAAGAAGGCCCCGCTCAGCCGTCTCCTCCTCTGCAAGGGATCTGCGGCGCGTGTCACAATGCCTAGGATGACTGTGTGACCTTGGGTGAGTTGCTCCACCTCTCTGAACCTCAGTTTCCTCCCCTGTGAAATGGGCATACCCACCCACACTGCTTGTGCTGGGAGGGAGGCTTGGATGAGATCAAGGACATTCAGCGACGCTTAGCCCAGGAGCCTAACTGGGTGAGAGCTCCACACAGGAGTCCCGGGAATCGAACCAGCAACCTTTATGAGGAAGTGCCTGTGTTGGGGGCCTTGCAGTCAGCCCCCCTCAGCTCACCCGCACTCCTGACACTAGAACTGATGCTTCTCTGTGGGTCCCCAGCACCGGGGCTGGGAGAGAGCAGAGCATGGAGCTTGGTGAATGTCTGAGAAATGAGCCAACAGGGATGTAGGGCAGAGTCTAAATGCACTTCGGGGGGTGGGTTTCGGGGGTCTTTGAGCTCCCCTGAAATTGTCCACAGCTTTTGGCGAGCCTGGGCATTTTCTTGGGGAGAAAGCCTGGAATTCCCATGGGCTTCTCGGGGTGTCTGTAGGCCACCCAGGGCTAGGAGGCAGGGAGGTTTGACACACTGCGACCCAGCTCTCCGCCCCTCTCTGGCTGTGGGTCCTTCCCGCCTCCCGGGCTCAGCTGGAGACTCTGGGGAGTGGAAACTTCAGGGAATATATCGCTGGGGCAGGTCATAGGCTGGGGAGGGGGGGGGGGGGGGGGGGGGCGCTGGAGACAAGAAATGGAAGATCAGATGCAGCCTCAGGAAGCCTGAGGCCAGCGTGGGAGACAAGAGGTTACTATGGGATGTGCCCAGGGTGATGGGAAGGGGCGGAGGGGGGTGTCACGGAAAGAAATGACTCTGCCGAAACAAGCCACGGTCACATCTCACCTGGCCTTCTCCGCTGGCCTCTCTCCCTCTTTTAACACATTGGTTAGATGGTGAAACTCCCATGCTTCACCTCTCCGCTGGCTTCCTATGAAACATAAGAAAACCCAGGTGCCTTGCCATGGCTCACCGGTCCCCTGGGGATCGAGCTGGGTCGTTCTGATTCCACCTCCCTCTGCCACTGTCTCCACTTGTTGATCTCCAGCCACACCTAGGTCCCCCAAGTGCCTCCTTATTTCTTTTTTCTTTTTAAAAAAAATATGTTTTATTGATTTTTTTACAGAGAAGAAGAGAGAGGGATAGAAAGTTAGAAACATCGATGAGAGAGAATCATCAACCAGCTGCCTCTTGCACACCCCCCAACCAAGGTACATGCCCTTGACCGGAATCGAACCTGGGACCTTTCAGTCCACAGACCGACGCTCTATCCACTGAGCCAAACCAGTTTCAGCAATTTCTTTAACTCACCCAGCTCATTCCTGTGTCAGGGCCTTTGCACTTTCTGTTCCCTCTGCCGAATGCTTTTCCCTGCAAATCTTCAAATGGCGGCTCCTTCTCATGCAGCATTTCGCTTAAATGTCACCTCAGAGAGGCGTTCCTGGCGCCCCCTGGGTAAAGTGTGTCTCCCCCCCCCCCTCCCCCCATCTGCCTATCTCTCAGTCCTGTTTTCTTTTCTCCATAGCTCACCTTATGTAGCATCATTCATTGTCTGGCCCGTCCTTAGAGGGCCAGCTCCCTGAGGGTGGGAATCTCGCCAATCCTGTTCGCTGCTTATCCACAGAGCCTGGTACACAGCACCTGCTCCGGTTATTTGTTGAAATGGTTAAGAAAGCCTTCTAGACAAAGGGGGGAAAAGCAAAAGACCGCTGGTACTTATGCTCCTACCAGGCCATTATGTGTTTCGTTCTGTAAGCCTTAGGAGAGTCCTTTAGAGTTAGGTCCTCTTTCTATACCCGTTTTACTGAAGCTCGAATGCAAAACGGTAAAGTAAAAACTCACCCAGGAACTGGCAACACTGGGGTTCAGACCCAGCTCCCTCCTCAAAAGCAGGGTGTATTCCTCTCCACCTCTCTGGTATCTGAGCTGGGACTTCACGAATAGGATTCAGCAAGGAAAGGAGACGGGAGGGGGCATTCTGGGCAGCGGGAATGACAGGAGGAAAGGCATGGAGCAACAGGCAGTCCTGCAGGCGGGAAAGGGCAGGTGAGCAGCCTGGTAAGGCCTGGGGAGGCCCAGAAAGGGTCTTCATTCTCTTCGGAGGGTCATGGGGAACCCCTGAAGCTTTTGAGTCAGGGCAGTGGCATGACCAGAGATGCAGTTTTAAAGGGTCACGCTGGGCACCACAGAGAGATTGGCCAGGAAGTGGGGGAAGGGGTGGGGGTACCTGCTTCCTGTCGCTCTCCATCCTTTTCCAGCAGCCCCCTTGGGGCAGCCCCCTCTAGCACACACATGTCACTCCCCTATTTTATTTTTATTTTTTTTTAGGCTTATCCAGTGAGGACTGGAAGTTGAGGGTTCCAGGCCCAGGCATCTGAGTGGACCATGGCCTCCGGCCCAGGGGGCCATGGGCATGGCCTCCTGGGGCTATTGCTGCTGCTGTCTCTGGGGGCTGGCCCTGCCCTGGGCGGGGGCCTTCCCAGGCCACAGGAGGACTGGGAACCACACCTGATCCCCGGAGCCCACCCCAGGGGCCCCGCTGGCACTGAGCCCGCAGCCTCTCTCCGGCAGAAGTCCAGAGACGAGAGCCCC